AAAGTTGGGAAAGGCAATGTAAAAACGGAGATATACTCGACCAAAAGTTTTGATAATTATCCTCATTCCAAAACACATATTTTATTTCTGCACGCATTAAGTGGATGTGACACAACTTCTGCGCTTTCTAAAAAGGGGGAAAAAAACATTTTTAAAAGTTTTTGAGAAACTGACCAATTTGGATGAACTAGCTGCAGCATTAATTAAAAAATAATGAAGGGAAAAACTTTAATCTTACTATAATTATATTCTCATTAACACTAATGACATTTTAATTAGAAAATAATTAAGTGCATCTTCTTTAAAATCTGTAAATTTGTAAATAATAGGACAAGATATTGATTTACTCATCATTTTAATTGGGCGTACACTGTCTTACGAACAAGAAATTTTCTTTAAAAAAGTTGGGAAAGGCAATGTAAAAACGGAGATATACTCGACCAAAAGTTTTGATAATTATCCTCATTCCAAAACACATATTTTATTTCTGCACGCATTAAGTGGATGTGACACAACTTCTGCGCTTTCTAAAAAGGGGGAAAAAAACATTTTTAAAAGTTTTTGAGAAACTGACCAATTTGGATGAACTAGCTGCAGCATTTGAGGAAGAAAATTGTTCGGCCCAGAGATTATTAGAGAGTGGAACTCAAACCTTATTGGCAGTCTATAATGCTCCGAAATCTGTGAAAAGTCTCGATCATCTTCGTTATATGCATTACGTCAAGTCTACAAAACTTAATAAACCTGTGCAGCTTTCAAATATTCCACCAACAAGTGCAGCTGCTCATCAACATTTCGAACGTGTATATTATCAAGTTCAAACTTGGTTAGGGCATGATTTGGAACCCCAGGTATGGGGTTGGGCAACTGCAAGAGTGGTTGTGGTTCGCGATGCGGATGCAGGAAAGCGGGCTTGCAATGCTCTTTAGCTTGTGGCCAATGTAATGGGCTAGCTTGTCTCAATGCTTTACCATATCAGAGCGACATTAACGAAGATGGAACTTTTGACCCCGAAATCATGAAAGAACTTGAAACAAATGTCGTTGAAGACGATAATAAAGACCAGTTTGAAATTTACCAGCAGCCGGAAGACGACGATGAAGAGGAAGAAGATGATTAAAATTATAAATTGTAGTTTTTGTACCCTTTATTCCATTTTTTTACTTTTAGTAAAAATAAATGTATTGAATGATATTTTTTAAATAAATTTTTTTAATTTTTTTTTTATCATGTAAGAAGTTATTAATATTAATAAGGTTTAGGTAAGTGTTGTTAAATAAATTAATACTGAATAAAAAGTGGATAGGTTAGGAAAAAATGATAAAATATAATATAATAGTTAATAAAAATTGACAAATATTTATAATCATTGATTTATCGATAGTTCATCAACTATATATGGCGCGTTTTTGATCGGAGGCACCGGTTGACCTGAAGTGATGCTGTGACCGCGCGCTCTAAGCCCTCTATCTCGAAAACGGTTCACCGTTTACAGACTTACAGCTGGGTATCTGAACTCCGAGGTGAACTTACTATAATGACTGGACTACAATCCACAAAGAAATCTCAAACGAGTATACCAATTGACTTTGCGAGAGTATAAAATGTTCGGTTACATCCGAACTTAGCTCTTCCTTACTTGTTTTAATATTATATTATATAAATATCTCAGACATAAGGCAAAAAGTGGTAATGACACTAAGTAAGTCTTTGACCTATAGTATAAGTTAGGGATATCAAATATCATCGTAATCATCATCAAATAATTGAATTAATATTTAATTTAAAATTATTTTTTACTTTGTAGTCCTATTATCTGAACAATACTGTTAAATTTTAACTATTATAACGATATTCCTACATATCTTATATTATTATTATAAATGTAATGATGTATTAATTATTCAAATTTTTGAAAATCAAACATAAACAATAATACTTGAAAATACTTATTTCAGCCGTTGCACCTATTTACATACATATGTATGTATATATAAAATTGGAACTGATCGCATATTTTACCATAGACAAAAGCTCAGCGATACCGAAGATTTATAGTACAGGGTGGCTCATGAATCGTGATACAAAAACAAACAGTAATAACTTTTTTTAATCAATGTGTTACAATTATTTTTTTTTTAGTGTGTAATAATAAATATTATTTTATTTTATATAATTAAATATTTTTAAGAATTATGGATCGTAAATGAGCTCCTTGCTCAGCCACGCTTATGCGACACCTAATTAGAAAATTATTCATTGCGCCCTGAAGAGTTGAAGTCGCGATTACCTCAATTATCGATTTAATGGACTGTTTCAATTCAGTCAGATTTTCGGGTTTTGTTTTGCATACCTATGGCTTGACATAACCCCATCAAAAAGGTCTGGTGCAGTCAGGTCAGGTGACCTTGGGGCACAGCGGAAAGTGGAGTTTCTTGATATTAGCTTGTTTCCAAATTTTTGTTGGAGCTCCGCAATAACCAGTCTGGCTATGTGTGCAGTTGCTCCATCTTGCTGGAAACAAACGCTATTGAAAGCGATACGTCTTCGGAGCAGTTCTGGGTAAAACAACTCATTCAACATCTTGAATGACGGTGGCCATTGACAGTTACTGTTACACCGTTTTCTTCAAAGAAGAATGGCCCGACAGTACACCTTGATGAAACTGCGCACCACACAGTGACTCATTCTGGGTGCTGTTTCATATCGTGAATTATTATCTGAATTTGATTCCCTCCATTTACGGCAATTTTGTTTGTTTACATTTCCGTTTAAATCAAAATGGGCCTCATCAGACATAAACCGGCAAATTTATCAAGTTATTGTCTTATTCGGCTATTTTAATCATTTTTTGGCAAAATTCCAGGCGAATGGACAAATCTAGAGTGTTTAACCGGCTTGTTATTTGAACTTTGTACGGAAATAGGTTTAAGTCATCATGAATGATCCGTTGTAATGACCGTCTGCTAACTCCAAGTTGCACCAATAAGTTACGAGTCGAAACTCTTGGATTTGTCTGAATTGACGATGCAACAACCGCGATTGTTTCTTGAACCCGAACATACGGATCTCGATGGTACGGTTTACTTGCGATACTTTCAGATTCAGCAAACATATTTACCAACCTCATACTGGCCCATCTACTCGAGGTGTGCCGCCAAAATCCTGTCAAAATTCCCTTTAGACGGAAATGACGGACTGCAAAGCATGGTACCGCTGCACTATCCAAACCCTCTTTTCGGTATTCCAAGCGTTTATTTTTATAAAACTTAACTAATAACCTGCCAAATAAAAAAAAAAAGTAAGTCCAATATTCACACAGAAAGAAAGATATTACGGTTTGTTTTTGTAGCACGATTCTTGTCCCACCCTGTATTTAAAAGTGATAAAAGAGATACAAAGCTTAAACTAACGGATGTGGCATAGAATGAATTCCAAGACTAGGCAGCAAAAGCTTAAAAATTCGACCACGTAGAGAAATCCTTAAAAGGTTTGGTAAGTGACACAGCCACAACCTGACAAAAAGTCTTATTTGCAAAGGAATAGTTGACATTTTTTCACTTTTTTGGAAAACGTAACTAAAAATATATTCTTAGTCGAAAGAAAGAACTTCAGTTTTTCGCCGTTTTCCTTATTAATATGAGAATTAGATGTTACAATTTTCAATCAAGTATGTAAGTAATCTTGACACTCTCATAACCGCATGCTCTTACGCGCTTCCATTTTCGTTTCATACTTGTAATATTCACAAGTCAAGCTTCTATTTACTTTTAAATTAAGCGCGAAAAGTTTAAATAATATCATTTTACTAAATAAATGATACTTAAATATTCATCTATAATAAGCAAGTATTTTAATGTAATGATGACATTATGAAGGAGTATGCAAGGAAATTCTAGAATCTAAATGATAGAACGAAAAAAATGTTTAACCTGTATCCTCCTGCTATGCTAACTATAGAGAATTTATTTAATTTTCTTGACTATTAATCAAATGTTTAATAGATTTTCTTATACCAGGGCAGAATTCATTCCGCATACCCCTTGTATGAAACCTAGGCCAAAGGGGTTGGGTAGAGATAAATAATCATAATGATAATTGATTACATAACCCACCCGGAAGGATTGATCAAAAATATTAAAAAGCTTGGGTCCGAGAAACAGGTATTGTCTAAATATTAAACTTATTTTTTTTTATTCTTTAAAAATTCTGATTTGAAAATTATTTAAAACAGCGAAAATAATACATCAGCAAAAACACAAATAAATTTTTTTACCTTAATATACACTCTATTAATTGCAGGGCTACTCAAAGTTACAACAGTATCATGATTCAATTATATAAGGTTGTGTTGATAGCTTAAAAACAACAATTTATCAAAAGTGTTTTAACTTATAATGTCAAAATCAGCTGTTTTCCTTTGTTTTTATGATTCAACAATATAATCTCAAATATTCTAGCCAATAAAAACGCGTTTTTTGAGTAATTACTGAATACGGATAGATTGTGAATCACCCAAAATCCTCAAAATGTAAACAAGAACAAAAACTGTCAATTTTTTTTGAAAATATCTTAAAATGTGTGTTTTTAAATGTACTTAACCAATAAATAGGGCACATGCTGATTTTCAGGCTAGATTAAAAAAGAGAAAAAATAGTTAACCCACCTTAAAATAACTGCATGCCTCCTATTTATCGGTTAATTACATTTAAAAACACAGAGTTTGATAACTTTTTCAGAAAAACCGCTAAAAATTTACCAAAAGTTTTTTTGACATTATAGAATAAATCTTTTTTCGTAAGAAGAAGCACGCCCCGGAGTAACACAACATCATATTATCGAATCATGTCCAAGTTTAAGTGCATAACTTTTATTTGCAATGCAACCCTGTATTGCGCTGAATATGACTGCACCGTGCACCATCTATCCGCGAAATTTTTCATACGCAAACAGATTTTCCTTCACCGTGGATTCACCAATTGTGCTCGCCGTAAAGCATAATTAAATAAGCAATACCATAAGTAATAGTATAATTTAAATATTTAATCTTTGGTGTATAAGTTGAATAGACTTCCCAACTTGTATGGAAATATTAAATATTGCTGAATATTTCGCGTTTGTGCTGAATTGACCTCGTCAACACGAAGCGAGACGAAAAACGATAACGATGAGCTCTGAGTCCAAATAGGAATTTCAAGATGGCGTCAGTGATTTTTGGTGGAATTTCAGTGTGTGTTTAACTTAGTTTACGCGGTATTTGTGCTGATTAAAATTTAATAATTGTGAGAAATATCATAAATGTGAAGTGGTTAAACGGTAAAAAAAAAACAAAAGAGAAATAGGAGCAGATGTGCCTTTACCCTTTTAATTAGTGATAATTCGCCTAAAATGGCGTATGCATGCAAGGAAGCGAAATAACTTTCTTTTTTCACAAGTTTATATTTTTTTGCTGCTGGTCCAGTGCTTGGTTATCTAAAGAAAAGTCGAACAACGTGTTGTTGAATGTTATAACTTGCACTGCTATAGCATTTTGTGACAAGTGGCAAGTGGTACAGTCGGAGTTGGGACGCGTTTTACATTTATTTTAATTGCCAGCGTGGGAACATACGAATAATATATATGTACATATATTTTGTCACAATTATTTAAACATTGTTCAAAACGTCACAAAGCACCACAGTTGAATCTGCTTATGAAAAAGTGAAAAAGGCGGGTAAATCAAGAAGAAAACCCAAAAAATGTGTGCAGCACACAGTAACCCACAACAGGGCTTCGGCTATACTTGGGGATTCGCAGATAATACCCGTACGGAGTCTGTACTGGAGATTCCGGCAAATATAAATTACACAGTCAGCAGTGAGTCCGTAAGTGATCAAAACAAAAATGTAATGTCTGATTATGTTATTCCTTTTAGTTACAGATAAATAGCGTGTAGACGCGTTTTGCTTTGCTACCACCAATGTATTGTTTTTAGAGTCCCACTGTCTCAATTGGTGTCTGTGTACAAGCACACCTTAACTCCCCCCTTCATATCAAATTCTCATATTCATGCATACTTGTGCACATAATAGTGCGTGTACTTTTTGAAAGAAATGCATATATGTACATATATCCATACATACATTTTGCATTTAAGTACTACGTTTTACATGTATGTACCTTGTGTTCATACGTGCAGATGAGTGTGTGCGACTATACGTATACGAGGTTTTATGTAACGCCATCATAGTCGTTATCGGCTACGGTCACACTTTGTCACATGCATGAGTAGTGGACACCATGAACATTGACATTTGTTTTGTATTCAAAACAAGTGTTTGAATTGATAAAGGCTTAATTAAATGAAAACTGAATATGTGGCTAATAATGCTTATATACATATATATAATAATATATTGAATCGTAGACTAATTTTAAAATGGCGACTGCATAAATTCGCCTCGCTATTGGCAAATAGTAACGAAGGCGAAGATTCGAGCACAGGGTTGTATTTTTTCGGGAGAAAACAGCTTTTATTCCGCAATGGTAAATTGCTACGTATCGTAAAACACTTGTGTAGTATTTCAGTCAATGCTGTGGTTTAGCAGCGAAATTCGTATGTGGCAGTGAATAGGCAACACCACACATATCGGTAACAAGTACACACACCGCTGCATGTATGGTGCTGCTGAATACACACAATGAAACGCATGGTTGGTTGTGTTGTGTGGTTTGTGTTGTCGAGTTTTTGGCGCAAAAATATACTGACATAAGTCCAATTGTGGGTAAGAAGCGCGCTCTCTAGTGTGGGAATGTGTGTGTAAAAGGAGATATGTGTTTGTTTGTTTACATTTTTCTGTTGTAAGTTATACTAATTGGTATGTCTGATTTGTAAGCTGTTCCTTTTTTTTTTGAGGGGGTGTGTAAGGTCGACCACTCTTGGCGCCAGAATATTTTTCTAAAGGGGTTTATTGTTTCTGAATGATAATTTCCAAGTATAGATGAAAAGAAAGTAACCATTTTCCGTTAGTATTAGTAATTTTGGCTAGATTTAATTTAGTGAAAATTGAAATAAAAAAAAAAAATAAAAATCAAATTAGACATGTAACTAAACAATGTGAAGTCTTGAATCAAAAATTCAAAATTTGAACTTAAGTTCAATTTATATTATAGCTTTTTTAAAATGTATGGCAAATAATGTTAGCTTGGACTTAAAGCAATTCAACGATGAGTCTCAAATACATTGAAATAGCACCATGAAAGACATATTTTTTTCGTGGTTTTTATGTATTATAAACATTTTATGTCCTCACGTTTCATAAAAATATTTTCGGGTTTTAACAAAACATTTGTATTTGACCAGATATATTTACGAAAGTTAGCATGAATTATTTTTGTTTTTGTTGTCGTAGCGACAGAATTCTGATGAGTTGACAGTCCTTGGTTACGTGGACCATACTGTGGGAACAGCATGGATTATTGTTGATGTTGTAGCTGCAGAAAACATTCCTGAAGTAATTTTGAGGAATGGTGCCGAGTTGACAGGCCTTTGCCGGATAAAAATCCGGGTCCGTTCCGGTTACTTAGAGCGGACTGTCGTGGGAATGGATTGTTGTCTAAACCAACAGTACAAGCATAGAGCTGCCAAATAAACTAAACCATCAGAATTCAATTATTGTATGGAAAACTTTGTCCATTGAGAAGTTATTTTTACAAAATTTGGCAGGTTATTATATAAGGCAACACTACAGTCTCCGCAGAAATTGTTTTGATTGGACCACTATGGCATATAACTGACACAAATTGCCGGTCAATATCAAGCTGTTGTTCGGAATATATTGTAATTGTAACGGGTATTATAGCTTCAACAGAAGTTAACATTTTTTCTGTTTTTTTTATAATGGTAATTCATATTTTATTTTTAAAAATATCTTCCCTTCTAATACACATTCTTACTATTCTTACAATATATTTAGGTGGATTTTAATCAATATATCTTAACAGAATTTGTTTTTAGCCCTTATATTTAGTATGGTGGTAAATAAAAGTATTATTTTGCAGATGCCATATTTGCTATCTACAGACGGCTCTTTGACTGTGCAGAAGGACGTTAAAGGAGGATTGACGGCTCAGAAAGGAGGTGTTGTACGACGTATGTTCGTTGTAAATGAACCATTTGCACCAGGACCACAACGGTAAGTTTATTGCTCATTTATAAAAATCATTGGTCAATGCTTTCTTCTCATAAATTTCAAATAATTTGATTATACGTATATTCAATATTTTGCTTCAAATAAAGAATTCCTAAATTCTCAAAATGAGTAATGTTTTAATCTTCAGAACTTTTCATGACATTGGCAAGTAATCACATTTAAGTTAAAATAATGTATGTAATAGTTTCTTACATTCTTTAGGAGTATTTACTATCTTTTGCCAAAGAATATTTAATCTAGATTTGTAATGAAGCATATTTTTCTTTTTGCCGAAATTGAATCGAAATGCTTAAATAAGAAAGTATTTAATGTTCAGAAAATTAAATTAACTTAAAATAACAAAAAAATTTATTTTCTTCTATTTCAGGGTTATAACTGCAGGTACTACTACACCATCGGTGGTGAAGAAACAAGACCAACAAGTGCTCAGTATTAACTGCGACAAAAATTGTAAGCATCCAAGTCCATGCACACCAATCGAGTATATTTAATAGTGTTTCAAAACAAAACAAACTATTTGCTTTTGATTTAGACCTACTTGTAGATCAATCAGATCAGTCACACTCTCTGACCAATGGTATCGTCGACACGAAGTCACAGACCATTCTAACGACAACAGCTGGCACTAAAACGCATTTTAGTCCCATCGGGCCGATTCATCTCACTGCAGAGGAATGCAACGAGATTTTAATGAAACGAGCGCTTGCCGCATCTCAACAGACTCACACGATCACTACTGCAGACGGACATGGGACGACAAGTAAGACTGTAAAAATTTCAAAGAAATTCTAAGCTCCCTCGTCCGTGCCTTTAAACATCGTGTGACGATCTACTTCTCTTTCTACTAATGCATAGGGTTTTGAAAACAAAGACAATAGAAATGCTAACATATTTTGTACTGATCATTAGAGTTTTCTAGTACAAATTAACTCTGTTGGAAAGTGCGTGAAATCAGTTTTTTTTTTAATTTTTTTTAAATTTTTTTTTGTATGAATAATTTTGGGCACTTGTTGTAATGTGCGATGGAAATGAATTGAAGAAATGCGCGTCATTTTCAAAATTGTTGTTACATTGTGTTTTTTTTTTTCCAAAAATGTTACATTCTCGACTCAGTTACATTTCGAAAATGTTAGAGTTTACTTTAAGCGGTGGCTTTATGAAATTATATTAAATTATATAATACAAAATACTTGATTATAATGGTTTTAATATTGTTTTTGATATTTCTAATTTTTTATCCATTAGAAAAATTAAATTATACATATGTTGGTGTTAATGTGGCTTGGTGTTGGTACATGAGGTTTTTGTGTGCTTAAATTATCATTTTTATTAATTTTTTTTAAGTACGCGTATAGCATAAATATTATATATATATTAATAGAAGTCATAATCAAATAACTATTTTAGTTATATGAATCAAATGTTACAATTAAAATAACTATGCCATGCATTAAGGATATATTTTCTTAATTCGATGAATCGATGTACGCATCGCCTTCAGTATGGTGCATTTACTTAGTAAGATTAGTGATCGTTGACTTAACTATATTGCTAAGGAATTGCTCCAATATCTAAAATCTTGCAATGGTAACATGTAAATATGTTTCATTGGCAAATTCAGATTCAGTTAGGTAAAATCGAAACCATTAAAGTTTCCTCTCCTGAGTATTCCCTTCAATTACGGTAATTGTCTCAATACTACTTGCTTATTTAAATTTAAGTTTTAATTATTAGTTTTTATTTTTAACTCATGTTTTTTCTCATCTTTTTGGTATGATTATCAAATCACTTAGTTCATATATGGTATACATTGTTATATTTTTAAATGTAATATTCCGTTCTGTCCAAAAATGTATGGGATTCACTAAAATATATTCGATCAGTATAGAACTGGACAATTTGTTGCCAAAACGGACAACCGGATCGATTTTTGCAATTGGGTTACTACTGAGCCATCAAACACAATACTAAGACTAACACATTTAAAATCATGACATTAATTTTGTGTTTGGGAAACTTTTGAATGAAATTAATTTCTATATATTAATCCTCAATTTTGCATATTTTCTTTGATTTCTCTTCCGATTGTAATGCTCACACTCTCAGGTGACATTCTGCCGGGTATATCGGTGCAAGTTCAAAAAGTGATCCAAGGTTTAGAAGAGGCGGATGATTCACAGGGGGATACACCCAACTTAAAGTTGGAGCCTGGTACATTAGAGCTATCTCCTAAAACAGAGTTGCAAGATAACATGAATTATAACGAGGTAAAAGAAATTTTGCGTTGTTTCAAGATGTAGATATATTTCTTTTTATATTCAAAAGAATGACGCCACAGTTAAAAAGGAACGACCATACAGTTGCGATGAATGCGGTAAATCGTTTTTATTGAAACATCATTTAACAACACACGCGCGAGTCCATACAGGTATATTTTCTTAATTACAAAATTATATGTTTGATTAAAATTTACAGGACAAAACTTTATTGCAGGTGAACGGCCGCATGTGTGTATACATTGTAGCAAGAGCTTTGCTCATAAGCACTGCCTCAATACACATCTGCTGTTGCATTCAACTGATCGGCCCTTTCAATGTACCGAATGCAAGAAAAGTTTTACTTTGAAGCACCACCTGTTGACACATTCACGTGTTCATAGTCGTGATCGGCCATTTGTGTGCCCCGAATGTGGGCGAACGTTCCCATTGAAGCGACATTTAGTGACCCATAGTAAATTTCATGCTGGTGAACGGCCTTACGTTTGTGAGGAATGTGGCGAAAGTTTTGCTCAGGAGAATCACTTAATAATGCATTCACGGTAAGGAAATTAAATCGTTTAGAATTAAATTGAAATGTTATTACTTTACTCTTTGTGCTTTCAGTTTTCATGGATCGCTGAATCCATTTGTTTGTCCAGATTGCGGAGCTACATTTCCGCGCAAATTTCAACTGGTGAATCATGGTCGCATACACGGTAAAGTACCACACTCCTGCACCCTGTGTGGCAAAGAGTTCTTACAGAAGCGTACGCTGGTTTCTCACATGAGGTAATTGCCATTAGCACTTGTTGTAAAAGTATTAAAAGAATTAGTGCTGAACAATACACAATTTTTTAGGATTCACACCGGCGATCAGCCATATCCTTGCATTAGTTGTGGAGAGGGCTTTATGTCTAAAGCTGAATTAAATCAGCATGTGCGTAATACACACGGAGGCGTAAATCCAAACTCCTCAAACACTGCGGTAAGCATCGATAGTATTTCCATAATCTAATATGTTCTTGTGAAAAGAATCCGTTATAAAGAAATATACACAATAAATTTCTATAAAAAGTGGCCTTTCATAATAAATCATCTATTAATGATGTCTAATAGGCTTCCTGGTGAACATATTAGGTTAAGTGGTGCATATTTTCCAGAGTCGTATGCTTAATTGCTAGACAAAATCTAAAGCTCTCATACAATGTATGTAGATAATTGGTTTTTATTTTAATGAAGCAAGCTCAATATGTTTAAGCAATCTTTAAGTTCTTAGGAGAATATCAGAAGCTTATAATTAATGTGGGACAAATTTTTGTGAATTGGGTATTTTTGTTCTTAACAAATTTAATACAAATCCTATATTTTATGATATTTTCATAACAGATACATTCTACGCAGCAACATCATACGCAACAACAGACGCAAGGGTCACATCCACAAACCATTACTGTAGTCAGTAATCCAGCGAACCCGGCATTATTATCTGTGGGCGGTGACAATAATGCTGCCCGGCCCCAATTTGGCTGTCGGTATGTATGATTTACTACTAACAAAAAATAAGCAATACCTTATTTTATTCTTAAATTGAAACCGAAATTTTCCTGTTTTCGCGTTTGCAGTGAATGTGGAAGTGCCTTTAATAGTAGAGAAGCGTTAGCGCTTCATTTGCGATTACATACAGGTGACAAAAGCCTTATGACTGATCTGTGCGCTTTAACTGCGGCACTGCCTGGTCACTTCCTCAACACCGGCCTTAATCCAGGCGCTACAGTAGTTGCTACCAACCCAAATATAGTGGCCCAGAATACAGTGCCCGTGCAGATCATTTCATCAACCGGACAAGTCATGACACAAACAACATTAGTACAGGCTGCCGCAGCAACGCATCCACAGGGTGTTGTTACTAATGTGCCTGGGGTGATGCATCATCAACAGCCACAACAGCAACTAACGAATACGGCGCCACAACAGCATCATCCACAGCAACAGCAGGTAACGCCACCCAAACCAAAGTCACATTTTTGCGCCAGCTGCGGTAAAGGATTTGCCGCTAAGCATGGTCTTATGCAACATAATCGAAGACATCCTAACGGTGGCTGCACCGTGCGCACACATGTATGCGAATGCGGCAAGGCATTCTTTCAGAAGAATCATTTGATGCTACATCAGCGACAGCATTTGGAAACCAAACCGTCAGCTGCTGTCGCTCAACAGCAACAACAACAGCAGCAGCAGCAGCAACAACAACAACAACAACAACAGGTGCGTTGATTGCATTGCTAAGCAAAAGATAAACAAAATATAATAAATACAAAAAAGCTGCACAACGCTGTGTAGTCCGCAAAAGAGTAAACCTGCAAAATACGCAAGCCGGCTTTGCAACGCTTCCATTATACTTTTTACACGAGCTCGGTAACGTCACGCTGAGACAAATAACCAACGCTTAACATCAAGCCAGAATCCTCATATCAAACATCCACGAAATAAAACTGCATACGCAAAATACTAACATAATGGTAAGGAAATAAGTAAATAAACTTAAAAATACCTCTATATTTATAAAGAGCACATTTTAAAAGTTGAATACAATAACTAGACAAACTGAAGGCAGGCGAAACTTTTTGCTAACCTCAAAAAAATTTAAAATGATCTTAACTAAACAAGAACTCGCTAAAAAAAAACTTGAAGATTTATACACAATTTTAAAAGTAATTTGAGAGAAAATTATTGAGAGCAACTGACTATTGTAAGATTTAAAAGATTGTTTTCTTAGATTATTTGTAAATTATTACGCCTTAAAGTGAGCTTGAAAAATAATTAACATATCCTGGAGCAATGTTCTGTATAGTTTGCTCTACTTGCTTCACTTTATGTTAATACCTGATCAAAAATGATTTACGGGTTGCTCGTTGAATTATTAATGTAAAATATTTTAAATATTCATGCATACACACACATTCTCTTTTTAGTACAATATCTACAGGTTTTTAAAACAAGTAGATGCATAATACTAAGAGAGATTATGAAACCAATACAAAATATATTGTCAGCATCTAACAAAAACATGATATTAGGCAAAGAAAGGTGCACCTATATCACACAAATTGCCAATAAAACTGTTAATAGAGATATTAAATACAATTTTTTACATAACCTATAAAGATTTTAAGTCAAGTTATGCTGTATTGTAAAATGTTTTGATTATTTGCTTTACAAAAGTTTTTACGATAACTGTAAGTTGTAAGTACCACAGAAAGTAAGGAGTATTTCATTCGATAAATGTTTGGATGCACGACTATGTTAACTCTTTCCGGCGTACTATATGAAATCGTTAAAACTCAAACATAAATTTTATTTCATTACATTCGTTTCAGCTATTTATTTAAGAAAAATGCAAAAAAAAAAATTATATGTACTTGCTGGATTTTGTACAAGGACGTCGTAAAATTTTTATACCACCGCACATTATGTGTGAAGTGAAGTTCTAACGACTGCAACATCAAGGAAGTGAAAAAATATTCTGTGCCATCATTTGCGACTTTTTCTATTCAGTTCGTAGTATTTCATTAGTTGATCCAACTTGTCAACGTCATTCATGTGCATATTATAATCGTGTATAATTTCCAGCTTATCGATATATTTAGTGAACCATCCCATTGACGTTGATTCATCTTGATAATTTTATTCAGATCATGGAAGTTAGATAAAGCTGTAATCGCCCTTTTGTCTTAAATTGCAAAGAATTTTATTTTGTAATTTGCAGTATACCTAGCTTCATTGGAAACATTTGATACATGGCGGGAAACACTGTTGATGATTCACTATTGTACCATTTTCGAGTTAAAAAACATATAGATTTATCTCTTTCGCACCGTGATATAATTTTTTTTTTAGAAAATTTGTAAAATATAAAAGTGTGTATGAATAATACCAGCGCACACAACATGAAGGAAAATTTTCCAAATAAGTGGTAGTTTTCATACCACCGCGCCGGAAAGAGTTAATCGTTATTTATTTGTGTATGTATATCTATTATATGTTTAATTTGAATTCAAAGTAGAAACAGTTTTTCTTTTTTCCATTTAGGATTTAACACACGAACAGCACAGCCGCTCGCGCAAACAACAACAACCACAATCGGCTATGTTGATAGGCAATCATCAAGCGCTGCACCTGCAAGTTCTGCAAGGCACCAATGCATCTCAAGTTATTAAGTACGAAATAAATATACCACAGGATAATCAAAGTGGATAAGCGAGTTGTTAGTGTAGAAATGGTTAATGGTTGATTCATTTTATAATATCACTAACCCAAAGGACAGATTTCAACATTCATGGCGGCTGGGAGGATGTGGGTTCAAATTGTACGGTACACAGTACGGTATTTGTTTTCATTCGTTTAAGTTTATTACGTTTTTAGTATTTAAGCTTTATTGTGTGCACACATTTCGCAATGACAGTAAAAATTACTAATTGTTTCTATTTGTGTATATATTTGTTCAATTTAACTTAACTATCTTTATCAATTATAATTTTAAGCCCTCAACCAGACAAGCAAACGTAATTAATAAATTCCTGTTACTAAGCTAATTTATAGGGTAGATCCAATTAGTATATGGTTTGGTTACACATTAAGTCGTGCACAAGCAAAAGGAGCGTTAATTATGTACCGAGTTCTCTTATCCCTCACCTTTGCCCTTTTATATACATATATTATATATGTATAACGATAAGAGTGCTTAGATTATAAATCAGAAAAGAATTTCAACTTCATGCCGACATTTTATTATAAATTAAAATGTCTGATTAATACATAGTATATACAGTACATGGAATGTATGTAAAAATATATACGATTACATACAAAACAAAACAAAAACAAGAAAACAAAAACTAATAATAATAAACGATACATACATAATCATGTACCAGCATGACAAAACATAGTTATATAATATTAGATTTATGTGCATAAGAAATGAATGAATAGTAATAACTAAATATATATTTTATTATAAGCATAAAAAATTAATGAAAAATAAGAATAAAATAAAAATCAGAAAATAGTAAAATCCCTTTATTTTTTCACAAATTTGCATATTTTTGCAACGATGGAGTGCAATTTTATTTTATGAGAAGTCACTTCAATCTATGCTTCGGACTTAAAGTTTTGTATTTACATATATCTTTTGGAAAAAAATATTATAATATGTATACATTATATTTTTGTCAAAAGTAGGAATATCTAGGCAAGTAATTTTGGATCAGAGTTGCACATTTTTTAATTCAAAAAATGAAAATCTAATAAAATTCAATTTTCAATTTAAAATTGAACATTGTCGGCCACTTTATGGATTTTGGGATTAATTTTTAATACAGGAATGTGTTAAAGATGATGGAGATGCGAGCTAAAGTTCAAAATAGTAAAACACGAAGTACGCAAACGTGAAAAAATGTTAAATTTAAAACAATTTATTCTTTTTTATTCTTAATCATTGTATATGCTTTGGATTAAAATTTTTATTATTTTTATACTCTCGCAACCTGTTGCTACAGAGTATAATAGTTTTGTTCACCTAACGGTTGTTTGTATCACCTAAAATTAATCGAGTTAGATATAGAGTTATATATATATAAATGATCAGGATGAAGAGACGAGTTGAAATCCGGGTGACTGTCTGTCCGTCCGTCCGTCCGTCCGTCCGTCCGTAAAAATCAATTAAATTCAATTGCACTCGGTTTTGAATGTATAGTTAAATTGCAGCATAAATTCTTGAATATGATATTGGTGTAAATGTCAATTTGAATGTATTATATTATGTAAATAAATAACAAATTTGTTTTACTATGCAAGTATTATGTAGAAATACGCCTTCAAAATGTTGCATGCATCAGTATGACATAACAAGGACAACGTTACCACATGGCCTGAAATATCTTTGGAATAACAATTTGATGTAATTTTGAGCTCGACATCCAATCGATCCAGTAACAACAGTCATATTGTATATTGATTGTTTCATTATGTAAAAGGTAGTCGAATTAATTCCATGTGAGTTCCAAAAAGCACTGGAAAAAACTGACTTATGTTTCAGACGATATTTTGGAAAAGTCGATCCTCATTCTTGGGGCAAAAGCTATTAGGCGTTATGACAGTTGAACTCAGGTGCGAATTGATGAATGTATCCATGTTTCATCCATTGTCACCACAAAGCAGCGCAGAGCGCTTGTCTTTTTTTATTAATGTTCATAAAAGGCCGCATTCATTGCGCGCAAAATAAATAAATAAATACCCGCGTTCATTTGAGATTCCATTTATGTTAACTAATTTACATAATTTCAATTTACCGTCAGCCAGAACAAGTTCACGAATTTTCGGGATGTTTTTTGGCGGTACTGCCTTTGGTATATTGATCCGATCTGAATAATTTGTTACGAGATTTTGGCGTTACCTTGGATAAAAATATATGCTAAAAGAATGAATATCTTGTCAAATAAAGAAGTTTTCCATACATAAACTTTAGTTTGATCGATCATCTTGTATGGCAGCTGTATCCTAAAGTGGTCTGATATCACCGGTACCGTCAAATGAGCAGCTTCTTGGGGTGAAAAGGACGGGTGCAAAATTTCAGATCGATATGTTATATTATATAGAAAGACGGACTTGGCTAAATTAACTCAATTCAGGCATTATATATATATATATATATAATATTGGTAATATACCCTATTCAGGCTGTAAAAAAATTGCGTATTTAGCGTTTGCTTTACTAATTTGTTATCGTTAACCCATGTCGTTAAATTCCAAACTTGTTTCCTTGAGAATAAGTACAGCTAATTCGGGGCCACCCAGATATTAATTTCGTTTAATTTTTCGGAGCTGCGGTTGTTATTTCTTGTTATGAGAGGCGATAATTATAAAAAACCTACTATTTAAAGATGTCCACCGGTAAAATTTTAATTTGTTTGTTAAAGTTTTTTTTTTCTTACAATTATAAATTTCGTGTTTTATTTTTTTCTTTTAGATATCGAACAGCACGTTCATTGCATCATAACTATAAATTAGTATGGCAGTTTAAGAACATGAAAAGGGAAGTCTACCATTCAATTTTTAAATAAAAAACAATATTGTCACACAAATCATACTCTTGAGTTAGCAATTAAATCGTCTCCTACAAACTTTTTTTGAATCTGGAGCCATCCCTGAGTGAATAACCGAACGTAAGTTTGTTCGAATTCCTTTGTCCTTTTCTAATTTAAAAAGCACGGTAAACGGAATTGGTTTCTTATTTGTTTGAAGTTTAAGTTTGTGAAAATTCGCGTTTTACAGCTATCTGTTTACAACTTAAAAAGTTAGTAAGATTTTGAATATTTGTTGATTCCATTACGATTCTGTTACTATTTCCATTGAATATTTTGCATACGTTTTGAGTAGTCGACTTTGTCTAGTAATAAGTTGGCACACATCCGAATATCACAGTCGTGATCTATAAGAATTAAAGGAGTGTGAAATATTTAAAACTAGTAAAAATGTATTACGAAAATGTTGCGTATGCAATTACTAGTGATACAAACTTACGCAATGTACATGTTTATACATACGTGTAGATTTGTTCAGAAAACTTGAAGTAATCGGAAAAGATTTGGCCAGGTTTGAATTTTGTTTCCGGAGACCACATTAATAAAAAAAAATTTAAATAACGTCTCATCGAAATCACCTACTTTTAGTTAATTAGTTCGTTTCCGAAATTCAAAATCACAATGTTCGTGAATTATTTCGCTTCACTGTAGTTGGCTATATATGGTACCTATGTACTATGTACCTCGGTAAATTGTCAAAGATTTTAAAAGCGCTTCTAATCAAAGATAATTGAGTAAATTGCGTGTATACTCGCTCATGCAAAGTTTTCAAGCTTCTAATGAAATTTGGCTTTTGGTGTACAACGTCACTTCTTATTGTATGGCGCTGAGGAGGTTTCGCATACAAAAGCCCGCTTATTGATATACAAGTATATACATATGTACACATACATACATATGTTGCAATGTGGAAAATTAGATTTAAGTGACCGAGGGCGGTTGCTTGATTCTTAATAAAGCTAGTGAGAGTTTGGGCATTGTATTTGTCGTACATACGTTGATAAAGTCAACATTTAAATGAGATTTCAAGGTTATATTTGTTTATTTTCGATAATAATATTCAAAATAGAACAGAGTTTCTGATTCCAGAGAATTTGATTACTCTGTGCGGACAAACTTCAGGGCTATGGCAACTAATTTTTTGTTAATGAGTTTCTAATTCAAAGCATACATATGTATTTTATTAGTAGTCCTTATAATTTACAGGAGACCAAAGAAGAAAGTAGCTTATATAGCGTATAGCTGTGTATAGTAAGCCGGTACATGGAATGCGGCATGGAGTTAATAAAAAAGTTAAAAGCAGCGGATATTTCATTCCCTTCAACATAATGAACATTATTTATATGCATAATAAAAAAGGGACTTTCCTTATCTTTTGGAGAGTATTTTTTACTTTTACGCTTGGTTTAAACTAAAGTTGACAATGGCTATTATTGAGTACAACTAATGTTCTAAGGAAAATAATTTCCTCAAAGGCGTCTGATTAAATTTCTCTTTCAGTTTTCCATATGCCACATGAACATTTAATATAAAATTGGAGATACAGAACTATTTTTCTAACACATTATACCTCTAAACTACTTTAACAAATCTCATAAGTGACTATAAAAGCTCCACTTCAAATAATGGATTATTCATAACAATGTTCTTCAAAGCTTTACCGTTAGAATAATTAAGCATATTCATTTAACCTCGAATACATATATGTACATAGTATGTACGTGCATAGGTATATATGTATGTATCTACTTTCTGTACTTGTATTTTTTACTATCTGAATTTTTCTTATGATTCGATTCCAGTTATCGTATTTTAAAGTGGTTTCCCAGCATCATCCCAATCTTTTTAACCTTAAAGGAATTTAGAAAAATTTGTGTCTGTATTTAAAACACAATATTTTAGTTTGTTCGCAAGTTGATATACAAAATATTTAATAAATTTGTTTTGACATAAGAGAAACCTAAACGGAAAAAGCGATATTTTGATCGAACAAAAATATACACTGTTACTCTAAATGTTTTTTGATAATTCACACTAACTACTAAAGAGTTTCAACTCAAAAAATGACAAATGTTTAAGAGGAGCAAGGAACA